CATACATACATACATACATACATACATACATACATACATACATACATACATACATGTATGTGTGCATGCGCTCATATTAATGCACATCCGACTAGTTGTATGCGTTTCAGTCTCAAATCTACAATTTCCACATGACCAACATATCTCAAAGCCTCAGATAGGTACCTTCTAGATGGCCAGGGCGGCTTGAATCGTGCAAGTACGCATACATACATACATACTTATATGCATGCAACATACACACATAAATAAAAACATGGTCACATACATACATACATGCATACATACGCTCAATATTGTACACTTCTGGCAAATTCAACGTGATGTGTTCATTGATGTAGGTGGGTGCCGGCGCCGATAGTAAAGTAGCCAGAGAGGCGGACGACTTCATGAGACTAGCCAAGCAAAAACAACAGGTACATTGAATTAGGTGGGCGACTCTATTGTAGTATGCACTTTATGTATGTAGTGATTGCATACTTACCTATACACATATATCATATATATACATACATATATATATACATACATATATACATACATATATATAGATACATACATACACACATACTTACATCCATACATACATACATACATACATACATATGGATGGGTGTCTAGTTATGTATGGTCGTACATGGTATGTGTATCTTTGTATATGTTCTTGATACGGCGTAGTTATAGTCAGCTGTGTACTACTATAGGCGTGCGTTTACTCTGAGTTGTAAATCTATATCATATTATTTTTAAACGAGCACACAGCTGTGTTCGTCATACGCAGAATGCAATGCCCGCCAGTCACGTCACTGAGTCTATAGTGCAGTTGTATGTGGTTAGGGTGTGTACACAACATAACAGGTTTATGTGCTGGACTGTGGCTGTAGTTGTTATTTAAAGCGTACCACAACCTCTAACCAGCAAGGAGCTGAGCTCAGATGTAGCTGAGATTGCCCTGTGTTCTGGCCATTACCTGAATGACATATACCTTATGCACCCCATTTTTTCCGTTCGAAGCCATTCTTGCGCCATCAAAATCTGCAACAGGCTGGACAATAAATAGACCTGAATTTGATTAATCGAGGTTGAAGTTTGGATATATTTATATGTTCTGACTCGATTGTCAAGCATCGGCGTGCTGTCATAGCAGTGGCCTCTCACGTCCACTCGAGATTCTCTAGCCCCTGCCAGGAACCAACTCCACATCTCTAACATCGGAATCATATACGTTGCTATGAATACGAACGGACTATTCAGCCTACCACCACAGCCTACCACCACAGCCTATCCCATCGCCACAATCCAATGGATCATATCCGTCCTAGTCAGGCCCTACTTACACCCTCTCTTTCTCGTTCTCTATGCCACTGTATAATCATACTCACACCCTCTATTTCCCTATACCTTCATCCTTACACCCTCTTCTTTTTCACACCATCATACTTACACCTTATTTTTCACTATACCTTCTTACTTGCACCCTCTTTTTCTCTGTACCATCATACTTACACCCTCTACTTTTCCACACCATCCTTACACCCTCTACTTTTCTACACCATCCTTACACCCTCTACTTTTACACACCATCATACTTACATCCTCCTTTTCCCTATACCGTCATGCTTACAGCCTCTCTTCCACTGTGCCCCGTCTTTTCCCGTTTGATTGTTCATACGTACAGCTGCACCAGCAACAGCAGTTGGAGGCCTTCAGCATCTTCACAATGCACTTCAGTTCCGGCGCTCCCTTTCCCGTCCCTGTGCCTCAGGTGAGTGTAGTCGTATCTATGCCGATAGAAATGTATTGGATATATGTGTGGTTCCATTGGGGTGAAGGTATTTGTACGTTCATTTTAACTGATATAAATGTATTGTATATATGTGGGGTTTGATTTGGATGTTGATACGTGTACATCCATGTTTAATTGATATATTCATATTGTACATATATGTATATACATTCTTTTGTATATATATGTGTATTTACATTTGGATGTTGACACGTGTACATCCATGTTTAATTGATATAAACATATTGTACATATATGTATTTACATTTTTTTTGTATATATATGTGTGTTTACATTTGGATGTTGATACGTTTACATCCATGTTTAATTGATATAAACATATTGTACATGTATTTGCATTCTTTTGTATATGTGTGTGTGTTTACATTTAGTTTGTACCTCATTGTGCAACTGCTAGATATGTGTTGCATATATCTGTTCGCATTTGGGTGATAATTTTGACACATACGTAGCCAAATTGCCCGTCTTCAGGTTCCACTGACACGGGTGCTGTCACAGATGACACCGTAAGACGCGGACATGTCGGACACAGACATTTTACATTGGCACTTTCTAACATTTTACATTGGCACTTTTTAACATTTTGCATTGACACTTTCTATCTGACCCATATTTGTATCCGCTTTTCTCGTGCGAGTTCAGAGTTGACACAGAACCAGACTATCACGAATGGCTAATGATAAAACACCCCAACTCGCCAGTGACAGTGATACAATCGAAAGATTTTCATTATAACTCATATACATATACACTTCATCTTAACTATAACATATACACTTCATCTAAATTTATGTATGGCCTATAACGTATACTCTTAATCTAAACTGCTGCACGAGCCTATAACATATACACTTCATCTAAACTCATGTATGGGGCCTATAACATATACACTTCATCTAAACTCATGTATGGGCCTATAACATATACACTTCTTGTTAGCTGACGTGTAACATTGTATTTGAATATGCACAGGATATCATTAAGAAAATGGAGGCTTCTCTGAAGGACAGCATTCTGGGACCTGCTCCGTTGGTGTTTGAAGAGGCTCAGGCGTCAGTGTATAGGCTCATGCGCCGAGAATACTACCCCAGGTTCAGACACAGTCTTATATATAGAAAGGTATAGGTTGTGAATATAAAAGCAGAGACACACAGTCTGTTATGTAGAAAGGTATATTTATAAAAGCACAGGCACACAGTGTGATATGTAGAAAAGTTCATGTTGTGAATATAATAGCAGATGCATAGACATCATGGGTATGTCACACAGGCTTTATGGCGTTATGTGTTGTTTTATATGCGTGTATACTGAAAGGCACATGCAGACTTAATCGCGGAGGTATGCGTACACCGAATTTATGGAGTGTTGTAGTCCTAATTTTCTTTCTTTTTGTGCACAGTTTTTGGAATCCAGAGACGATGGGAGTACTGTGGGCCAGACAATCGATGCCAGAGACATTCCATACACACACAGCCGCACACCTAGCGGCGCCATCAAAGTACAAGATACGACAAACAATACGACAAACGATCCAAATACGACACGTGACGACATTGTGGATACTATCGACACTGTCACAGAAGTTGAGGAGGAGGTCAGAGAAGCGGCGATAAATGCCAAGTATGTGTACATGTATCTATGTAGGTATGTCGCCATGTATTTATGTATGTACGTGTGCGTATATTGATGTAGGTATGTATGCATGTATTTATGTAGGTATGAATGCATGTATTTATGTCTTTATGCATGCATGTATTTGTGTAGGTATGTTTGCATATTAATGTAGGTATGTATGCATGTATTTATGTAGGTATGTATGCATGTATTTATGTAGGTATATATGCACGTATCTATGTAGGTATATGTGCATGTATCTATGTAGGTATGTATACCTTCCTTTGTATGGATATATTTGTATGCGGGGGAATCTTCACACACTCATGACATTCATACATGTATATACGCCTCTGCTCTAGTGCACCAACTACCGTCCTCTCCAACTCCTATCATTATTCTAAACCACAGATAGTCTATCTATCCTTCATCACAGCTGACGTATCTGTGTACACCTACGCCATGTTGCACTATATGATGACCTCCACACACTCGAATGTTTGTGCTCATACACTTCTTTGGTTTGTCTATGCGTTGCGCTGTGTCGGGCCCAGTTTGTCGGTGGCGTCTGAGGTAAAATATTCGCAGCCCATGGATATATCGGGGCAATCCATACAGAGCCACAGCAGCATACACAGCGAGAAGAGTGTGGGTGCTGACGTTGAAGAACCCGAAGGTGCGTGTGTATTCTCAGTGTATCATGTAGGTACGCGTGTGCTCATAATAAGTTCTTATGTGACGTGCGCACAATGGAGTATGTGACACGTGTAAACATACATTTGTGTTGTGTGTGCTGACTCAGGACGCGTGCGTTTGTTAGTATGTGCATCCTGCGATGTACAGTGAGTGAGAAGGGTGTATAGGCACTGACATCAACAGACCTGAAAGGCACCCACACCCGCTCCGAGCGACTCCTGGAGATTAGGGCTTGTACGTATGTTAACGTGTGTCTGTGTATGAGTGTATGTGCGCAATGTGTGTGTTGGTTTTGGAGACCTCGACAGTCATGGGCATGTATCACAATGGATTGTATGGTCTATAGAGTGCTGGCAGCTACGTAGGATTACCATATCAATCTGTACTCTACACTCTGTTTACTCAATGGGACAGTTAGTAGTCGTACAAGCGATGGTATCGCCCGTGCATCGGGTTATAGAGAAATCCGACAGGTCTATAAGTTATGTTGACGCCAATTTATCAAAATATAGCGAAATTGGACAATATTTTTAATAATTCATGTCAATATTTAAAGAATTTCGACATATGTACTAAGTTATCCTTACAACAATTTATCCATGGGTAGCAAACCACGGTAGCCCTACAAGCCAATCAGAAGGGCACAATGCTATCGGCGCCGCAATTGCGTTAATGAAAGAGCAACAGCTGATTGTGGAGGATCTCATAATAGCCTCTGTACCAGGCAGCAAGCAATACAAAACGCTCATCAACCAGCAGGTATAGTGTAATATGAGCATATATATATATATATATATATATATATATATATATATATATATATATATATATATATATATATATATATATATATATATATATATATATATATATATATATATATATATATATATATACTATA